GGGAAGGCGGCTCCCCCACTGCCATATAAGGCAGGACTACAGCTCCCAGGAGGCCTGTGCGCCTGCGCAAACAATCGGGCCCTCCTACGGGCTGGCGCCGAGGGGCATGCTGGGTGGGCAGGTGGGGAGGCCGCCGCGCGGGCTTCTGGGAGGTGTAGTCCTGCTTTCCTGCCTGCCAGGGAGTCTCCCCCCGCATGATGACATATAGCTTTGAAATGACGCAACATACTGAGTCATGCCACCACGAGACGTCACTTCCCCGTTCACACTGCATTGGGTTGGGGCAGGGGGTTGCTTCCTGAGCTCTGGGGGGTGACGGGGGGTTTGTCCCGCCTAGTGGCTCCAGCGGGGATCTGGGCAGGCGATGATTTCGGGGTGCATCGGGCACTGCCAGCTCCTGGGTGCCGTCGCAGATACCCCCACCCCACCCTAATCATCTGGCCCGGCTCGTTAGCACCAGCACAGCCTGGTTTTGCAGGTGTGCAGCGTCTCATTGGCCTGGAGGAGCTTGTGGGAACGCAGACCCGGGACTTTACGGGGTGACCTCTTCCGTCGACCCCCGTCCCCGGCTCTTCCACCCCTGGGGCTGTGCGGACAGCACCCCACCGGAGCTCTGCTGCAGCGAGCCCATGCTGCGATTTGGGCTTTGTGAGCTGCTGTCAATCCCCATGGAGTTGGCACAGGTCCCCAGGCACCGGATCTTGCTCCTGACCCACCGCCTGCAACCACCTTGGTGCGGGCTGCAAGGTAGCACGGAGCTGCCCTGCCTGGTCCGTGTGGGTGATGGAGCTGGCACGTCCGAGGGGCCGAACATGCAGCCTCCCAACCCCTGGGGCTCTGGGGAGGTGGGCGCCCCTGTCACAAAGCCTCTTGCATCACCTGGAAATAACACGTCCTTTGCAAACCGTGTGAGCCTGGCAGCAATTAAGCTGCTAATATCTGACCCTGCTGCAGCAACGATGCCTTGTCCTTGCAAAGCCTTGAGCAAACTGGGGTGTCTGCAGCAACCAGACCTGGACAGGAGAGGTTCAGGAGACCTCTGTGCCTCTTGGAGATCTCCCTGAGGCATCCTGCTTTCCTGCCAGGCTTCAGGGCGGCCCGGCTGCGAATGCTGGCTGGCCCATGATCCCCTTTCAGGGTGCATGTGAGAAAGGGAGACCCTCAGCTGAGCCTCTTTGGCAGGCAGCTGAGGTGTCAATGGCACCGTCACATGTATCTTTGCACCATGCCACTGGCTCTGGGCATGGGCAGGGGCTGGCACTAGCAGGTGCCTCTGCTATCTGAGAGATAGCAGCTATCTGGGTGCCTTGCAGTTACCGGACTGCCACATCTGTACCAGGGCTCATCATCACTGACGCCAGGGCCCACAACTGGCACTGTCCTGGCACAGACCGTCTGCGGAGGAGTGCACGGGTGATGGAGCCTGCTCCCTGCCTGGCATCCGATCTGATGAGGGATGCATCTCACACGTGCCACGGGCCGCTAGCTCTGCTCTCTGCTTACGCTCTCAGGTTCCTGCCCAGGGAGGGGACTGCCTTTCCATGGGGCACGCGGGTGGTGACGCTGTGGTCCCGGGTCCAGCCCCGGCTGTGCCTCCCCTGCAGAGCTGGGGGCTTACACACCTTCCCCCCCTGCGCAGGGTGCTGACAGCGGCAGGGTCTGTGCAGGGCAAGAGCTGGGAGGTGACTCCAGACCAGACACCTATTCATGCCAGAAACCACTGGCCATTGCACCCGGCGCTGCACAGGGGGTGGAAGCCTTCTCTTCCCCCCACGGCCTCAGCGGGGACAGGCAGGGCCTGAGGAGGTACCCACTCGCTCCCCAGCTCTGCCATGGCAAGTGGGGTGCCGGGATGCAGCGGGAAGGGGGCTGCTGGCCGCACGCTGGGATCGGCAGGTGCCGGCGGGGCAGGCTGGGAGGAAGGGGGGGCTGTCAGCCGTCTTCAGCATGAGTCAGAGCCTGGAGTGCAGAGCTGCTATTTCCCTTCCCATCTGTCTGTGTTGACGGGGACACGGGAAAACCCAGGCGCTGTCTCCACCACTCTTCCTCCCCCTGGCCGGCTGCACGCCCGGCGAGGAGCCAGGACCCTCTGCTCCGTGCTGCCACTTGTCCCCAGCCAGCAGGCTGGGCTGCACAGAGAAATGACCCAGAGAAATGTCTGTGCGATGTGCTGGGTGCTGGGCACTGTCAGCCTACATGGCACAGGGGAGAGCCGGGGTGACCAGGCGAGGAAGTATCCCAGCAGCTGGGGAACCGCGACTCTGTTCCCAGTCTGCTTCTCCGAGGGGGCACTGGGGTTCATCCCTGTGGAGTTTAGCTCATTGATGCTCTGCCGTGGCAGGGGCCGGTGCAGCCGCAGAGGATGCAGAGCCCCCGAGGGACAATCTGGTGCAGTTCGGTCCAATCCGACTCCCATCTATTACCAGCCCACTCAGATATGTTACTGTTGAGCCCGGTTCTTGGGTTGCATGTTCCAGCAATCGAAGCACCAGCCAGTGGGTCCCGGCACGGATGGATAACACCGCTGTCCCAGGCTGCTATACCGGCAGGGAGTTGATGGAGGGAGAGATGCCAGAAGATCCCTGTAGATAGGTGAAGAAGGCTTTGCCTGACTGCAACCCTGGTGATCAGGAAGGCGGCAGGCAGACCCCTTGACCCGTCTGCGTCCTGCCTCGGTGCACTGGCCAGCCCGCCTCGCAGACGGTCCCCGGGCACTGCTGGTGCCAGATGCGTCAGAGGAAGGGGAAGGGGAAACAACCGCCCCCAATCCAGGAGCTAAATTCTGCATTGGAGAAAGCCCTTTCCTGATGCAGCAGCTCTGGATGGGGGGATGGCGGCGCAGCATATGGCCCTCCCTGCCTGCATGCGTTAGAGAATAAGGCTCTCTTGTGATGCTAAAGGGACCGCTTTCATGGGGTTTCCTGGTGGCAATGATGTGCCCCTGCACAGAGAGGGCAGGGATGGGTGCAGGCCTTAGGAGCACAACTCTGGTTCTCCTGCTCCTAAATCCCGGCTGCTGGAGCTGAGAGAGGAGTCCCTGTTAGGGCCCGGCATGAGTCTGAGCAGCTCTGAGGTCTCCCAGTAGAGGGCAGTAGTCTCTCGTGTCACACACACGCACGTGCACACACACGCACACACACACACACACACTCTCTCAGACAGGTGACTGCACCCAAAAACTTGCCACGAACTTTTTTTCCAACTACTCAGTTGTTCTAATAAAAGGTATTGCATCTCCTCAAACAACCTGGACAGCCCATGTCCTTAGACCAACACGGCTACAATCAAGAACCCAGTGTCTCTCTCACAGACATCCTAGAGCCGTGGGGCTGCAAGGGACCTGCAAAGTCACACCTAGTCCAAGCCCTGTCCAAACCAACCCGGGCAAACCCATTGTCCAAGCTTTTGGCAAAAACCACTCAGTCACCCCTGGTACGGCACCAGACATCACACCTCACCCTGCCACAGGGAAAGCAGGGGGACCAAAAGATAATGAGCAGGGCACTGCCCATCACAACAGTATTTTGCCCTCTACTTTTTGCCCAAAAGCATCCCGAACACAAAGGGTTTGGGGGACCTGTCTACTCCCCTTCCTTGAAATGCAGCTAGCTCTGGGGTGGAGCAGATCAGCTGTTTATCAGTGCAGTGCAATGCAATGCTGTGCAGCAGGACAGGGAGAGTCCTGGATCCAGGGAAAGCTGCGGTGTGGAGAAAGGAGGGAAGGTGGTTGTAGGGGTTGAGAGATCTGAGGATGGGGAAACTCTCCATGCAGTGCAAAGCAGAGAAAGCCTGCTGCCACAAAGGCAGAGTGACCAGCCCGATGCTCTCCAGGGCCTCGCTCTCCAGGGCCACGTCCCCCACCAGCATCCACCGTGGCACTGCTGTGAAATCAGTCCTGACAGTCGTGGACGCAGCCCCGCTGCTGGGGTCTGCAGAGGAGGGGCTGTGCTGGGAGCCAGGGAGTGCAGTGCTGCCTCTGCCCCTCCATCTAGCATAGAGCTGAGCTTCTCTGCGGCGAGTCCCCAGCTCAGCCCACGCTCGAGCAGGGATCACGCTGCAGCGGACTGGAATAGCGGTGCGTGGGCTTTACACACAAATGCAGCTGCAAGGCGCAGGGCAGTACACAGAAGCCTGCACCTAGGTAGCTAGGGATACCCCTGTGCCTCTTGCAGAGAGGAGCCCCCAAGGCAGGCTTAGCAAACCCCATAGTATGTACAGGGGGATCTACCAGGCTCCTGAGCTTTGCTGTTTGCCCCCTCCCCTGCTCCCTTGCTGCTACATGTGTCAAGGGGGTTAAAACCCTCCAAGGCGCTGGGTGATGGCAGCAGCCCAGCTGAGGATGGGGACTGAGCTGTGCCAATGCTCCTGCTGGGACCAAACCCAGAGGGTCCTGGCTAGAGGGTCTTGCACCTCCACTCAGGCTCCGATTGATGCTGCATTTGGGGTCAGGAAGAAATTTCACCCTTGATCAGATTGGTACCGACTGGAGGGGTTTTATCTTCCTCTGTAGCGGGGGGCACAGCTCCTCCTGGGATCTCTCCAGCGTCTATTAACAACCTTTTATAGAAGCAGGACGTTGGCTGCCGCGGTCCCCCGGCTTTCCCTGCGGCAGGGTGGGGTGTGATGCCTGGTGCTGTGTCAAGGGTG